ACAGAGGTCTCGTGATGCAGATAAAGGCAATAATGCGGCGAGGTGAAGGAGTATTCAATCGGAGAAGGAGATGATGAGACAAATGCTTATGCCTCTCCTAGACCTACAGCTAATACAACACCGAGAAGCCCTCTTAGTTAATATGACTGCATCTAATCTCCAGTCAATCTCCTGATCACTACTTCTATGAAGAATTTAGAACGCCTACAAGAGATGGGGGATAGGCTACAAAGACAATCTGTGAAAGAATTTGATGGAATCTCAATCTTACTATGAGAGAACAGAGCAAGGAGCAGGCCAGGGTGTGAAATCCTCCTGCTGGAGATTAGAGCAGTAGATTGGCAACGTTGTGGACACTACATAACGAGAAAAAAAAACCACTTCGCCACTTCATAAAAAGAAAGAACATAACTAAACAACTTTAAATTAAGACCAAAAAAATTGAACAAACTCAAGCAGGTAAAAATAGTTATCTTTCAGGTACTTTGTCATGCCAATTTGAAAGTCACTGGCCCTGTTCTAGTCAGAAGCATGTAAGGGGTCATAAACAATGTTCCGACTATATTTACTCTGCTTCACTTGATTCTTATAGAGAGAATAAATGCTCACCAATTTTTTTATTACATTCCTCATGTATCCTGAGGAATTGATCGGGCACCTCATCATAATCATCAACCTGAACAATTGGCAATGGAAGTACAACAAAAAGGCATGCACGTATGTGAATCCCCTCTTCATGAGGCAAAACATTCTCCAGAAATGGTTGAACTCCCTCTTTGAAAATCTGAAATGGAAAGAAGATTCAAAAGTTAAATGCTTGCTTTAGTTTTCTCATTATCCGACACAAACCCACTTTATCAAATGAAAGATCGTTGAAATTTAAAAACTGTACCTGAAACTCCCACATGATTTTGAAGAACCTTTTCCACAAGTAGTGGGACATCTTCCTCGCACATCTAAAATGGAGATGTGATTTGAAGTTAAATGTATGCGCTAGTTTTCTCATGAATAAAAAACTACATTATCTAATGAAAGATGATAAAGTCTCAAGTACGCTTGAGAAGACCACTATTGCTACTCTCTCTTTTCCCTGGTTTATACCACACATATGGGACGATTTTTAGAAATGTCAAGCGCAAAAAACCATTCACTTCCTTAGGTTCCTCACAGATTATGTCTTTTGCATATCTCCACGAGCAAGTAAAAGATCCGATGCTTGTATGTATGTATGCATCCCTTATTGTGTGAAGCAATTCCATCGGAGTGCACTTGAATTGACTCTGAACAAAGAACTATTTATATCTTCATAGCTAAAGGAGTTGCTTTTCTATGGCTTAACTTCAAAAGTATTTGGAGTTCTTTTCAAATGTTACGCCATGGCTCATAAAGAACGCTAGCTTGTTTGGAGGATCCAAGCCCAAGTAATCAAACCACATATCGTGTCAAAGAAGTTCTGACACAAAGCACATTGTGAATTTACTACAACATGAACCTTCGCATAGATAGTTGCCAAAATTACATTATTCTTAAACTCACATAGGTTTCTAATGTAAGACAATTCTATTGTAAATTGAATAAAAGTTAGATAATTATAATAAGATGTCTCGTTGTAATAAGTTTACCTTTTTATTCTTATTTTTTATTTAGAATATGATTTCTAATTTCTTTTAGATTATGATTTTACTTTATTTTCTTTTAGAATTTAATTTCCTTAAATAGGATTGGAAATAATTTTGCCTATACAAAGGCATTGTACACATTTTGATAACAATCAATCATAAATCAATAAAAAGCAAGATTTTTCCAATATAGTTCTTATTCTCAATTCTTATTACAAGAATTTCTACACACTTCCGTACTAGTTTCAGTAATCACTGCTTGTTTATTCTAAAAAAATACCACAGTCGATCTGGTAAATGAAAAATTACTTATCAATAAAAACAAACATAAATGAAACAAGAATGAGGTGAGAATACAAGCAGCAGTACAGAAAACATGACATAACATATTGCCAAGTATCACTTGTTGAATCCTAAAACTGGATGTTGGGAAAGCTAATGAAGGGTGCTATTTTCTGCTCATTCCGCTCAAGTATCTTAGCGTCGAAGATCCCTGAGGCACAATGCAAAGTTCAGTATTCTCATTTCTTATTTATTTATTCTTTTTTCTTTTACTGTGAGCAAGGGGAAAAATAACAGAATACATTTGAAATAGCAAACTGGAAGCATACAAGCTACCACAGTTGACCAACTGTAGGAAAAGCAAGCTTTCTCAAAAGATGTTGATTATTCAACTATGAAGTGATTTTAAACAGAAAAGAGCATATTACATAGGTCCCAACCTTTAGCATAGATCAGCATTTAGCTTGTTGATTAACCATGTATGCAGAGGATTTTGCAGGTTTTAGGAACCAGAATCTTACCATTTTGAGAAGGGGCATAGCAGCTTAAACTGGCCAGCTAAAATCTATCATCAGGCACAAAACCCCTTTGCAGCATTTCATCGTGGAGCTTAAATGTTTTTGTCATGTTTTCCAGTCAGACATAACCATTTAAACAACTTAACACGTACCTTGCTTCCAAGGAGAGCTTCCTTCGCTTTTAGCTTTTTCTACTTTATTTATCTCGTCAATTAGCCTAAAGAGCTTTAACACGAAGAAATAGTAAGCAAGCTTTTATTGATCTATATTCGATTTACTCATATATATAATCAGCTCACCACAAAAAAGTAGCTAAAACAAGTAAATAGGTGGATTTAAAGAAGAGAAGGCAATATATGTAAAGTGACACTTAGAGATTCATACAGACAAGCTTTGACATCTTAAGTATTTTGTAACATACATACAAAAAATACAGATTCATACAAACAAAAACCATGCAGTTAAAAGACTATGCAAACAGAACCTTTAGCTTCAGAATCTAACACAGGCATACTTTCCATTTATCTAACACCTCCAGCATGAGCATCAATTAATGATGTTCCAACTGGTATCCCGGCCACCAAGCCCAATTCCTGAAAATGAAGAGATTCTTAGAGAAAGAATGAAGTATCGATAATCAACCTTCCAGAACACATGAAAGGTGTTTTCTTGTGGTTTTTAGCATCCTTTGTAGACTCAAGCAAGCATCACTCGAAAAGAAAGAGAAAAAATTACTATATCCCCTCTCACCAAAATTAATGTGCGGCAGAGGTAGTTCCAATCAGTATAGGACCTCTTTGGGGAGTAGTATCAGAGTGCTCTAACTCTAGATACTGCTCCCAAGCACCGTAAACATCTTTTCTCTGGAAGACGATAACACAGGTCAAGGAAGAAAAATGACTAAATAAAATGGCTGTTGCATAAAGATAATTATTTCCGGCCATTCCAATCTTCTGTCAGAATCAATGCTACATATTCTCCTTACATGGCTATTCTTCAGTATGCTGATTATTCCATTATTATCATCATCATTCATGATACCTATGAAACCTTTTTCTATCATGTTTAGCACAGGGGTATGGGCAACATTAGCAAGTATATCAGAAGCAGAAGAAGTCCTAACAACAGGAGAGAGAGGTGTACTGTAGTATGTGTTTGGTTTCAGGTTCCAATGATTTGTTTAAAGCACTGCGGATTATAGCCTCCCATTTCGTAATTGAACTCCAATTCTCTGCTCCAAGTACATTCCCAGCAGCCAAAGGAACCACCTCTTGAAATCTGTACAAAAAGAATTTAGAAGGAACAGAAAATAAAATTGAATTCCAAGAACAGTTATTCTTCTCTCAAGGTTTCGTTTTACAAATGCATTGAATTTAAGGGAAATCAAATGCACGGGTTCACAACGAAGTGATAACAAATTAAATACTGTCAGTGATAACTACAAATACATTCCATAAAAAAGAATCCATGTAAGAAGTAAGCTAGACGGTCCTTGAATTAGAATATATATGGAAGTAAGATATATGTTAGGATGCTGAATTAAGCATAAAATTGTGATAATGAATCGCTGTACTTCTAGACATGCACTAACTCGTGATGTTTTGAGCAGTGGCGGACCCAGCATCAAAATTCAGCACGGGCGGACCGACTATTGATCGTTGACCGTTGATTGTATGACAAGAATTGAGAAATACACATAAGGAGAAACTGAATAATTAGCTTTTCCACTTAAACAAAAATTGGCTTTTCCACTTAAAAGCTGGAATTTATGAAAAATAAAACAAAAGAAAAAGAGTAGAAAATAGTGATAAATGGGAAGAAGAAAGCAACTTACGGGGTTTTCATTTCTTATGCTTATCTTCTCTTCTCCTCTCTCTCTCTCTCTCATAATCAATT